CCAACAAGAGGATGTGGTTACAAACTCTGGTGAGGAGCGGGCTCATCATTCAGCCTTGCTTCTCCCAGCAGCGAGAAGTGCTTTTCTTTACAATTCTGAGTCACCCGACAGCCTCCCCGCAGACAGTAATTCCCCTGGGCTGGTTCTGCAGGCGCTGCGTGAACTTTCCCTTGTAGGTGGGTCCCGTTGCCCCAGAGAGACCCGCAGCACTCTGCAGGTCCTCTCGGCCTGCCACACGTTGCAGCTCCGGGGCTTACAGTGCCCAGAATTGGCACAGTGCTGCCAGTGGCTTCTTTCTCGGATCACCACACCTTTCCAAGGTGTTAATTTCTGGGTCTGAACACTGCCATGCTGGATCTCTCTCCTCACGAGTGAGTATTTTTAGAAAGTTTGAGCTCAGACCATGTAGTCATTCCTGAGCTATGCCAGGACGAAAAGAAAACAACCACTTTTGCCTGAACAATACCGGTATGGAACAAAAAGCCACTGCAAATGTTTGGTTTTTTTTTTTTTTCCAGCATCACTCAGAACTAGCCGAGCTTTGAAAAACGAAACTTGCAGCCAGAAAAGAAAAAGGCTCCTAGCGAACAGAAAGGGCTTTGACAATTTACTTAAAAAGCCGTATTAAAGCAAAACAATGTTATATAAATACTGGCGGGCGTGCAGGAGCTTGCATGCAGTACGTCGCTTCGTCTCCATCGCAGGCACAGCGCCGGCCAGGCCCAGGGCGTTCGTTACCTGCTGGCTGCGGGTAAAGCCACCCGCAAGGGGAAGGAGCCGAGCGGTCCCTGCGCCCACGGCTGCCGGCCCTGCGGGCAAGCGTCACTGCCTCGCGACGGAGCAAGCAAGGCAACCTGGGGGGGATGCAGCTCCTCTCCGTTCCGAGGTGGTGAAGCTGTGCCCGCAGAGCTGCCCGGGACAGACACCTCCTGGCTGCCAGCTGTGCGGGACTGGCGTGGAGGAGTTGCAGCCGCGTGGGTGGCCAGAGGTCACCATCGTCTCTGGAAACCACCAAAACCTCTGGTGCGTTTTGAACCCTCGGGACAACTTGAAGGGGATGTTTCCGAGGACTCTTGCCGAAGAAATTTCCTGTTTTTCAGTATTGCTCAACCACTCTTCCGCTCATAGGAGAGATGGAGCCGGGGTGCCTTCAGCAGCAGGGGGATGAGCAGCGTGTGGTGGGAAGGATACTGGGAGCTCAGCCTTCCCTTGAGTGGGAGAGCAGGCAGGCTGGCTCCTATCCTCTTCCGTCAGCAGCTACAGCTTCTGGGGACATCTGTGAGCCCCAGGAGTTCCTGTCACTCTCCCCGACAAGAGAACAAGTGTATGTGAGTGGACAAACACACACATATATATATATGTGCAGGGACATTACTCCACAGAAGCTGCAGGCCGTGGAGAAAACCCCAGTCATTTTTAGTGCATTTTTATTGCGACTATTTGCATTATGAGGGGCTAGGAACCCGATGTGGGCAGGCTGGAGGTTGGGTTGCCTGAAGCTGCCAGCTCTCCTCTGCCCACAGGGCATGAGCAGCTCCAGCATCCCCCCCTCTGGCCTCTCCTTGCAGGCCCAGTTCCCCCATCTCACTCCCCGCGGGAAGGCAGCCCCAGGGTTCGTCCCCGCTGGGATATGGGGTGCCACGTTTGCAAGCTCTTCCTGGCGGTCTCTGGTTTCCACTCATTTGGCTCCTCTGGGCGTAAGAAATTTGGGGTTTCCCCTGCTGCTTCTGCCTCCATCCTTCTCTGGATGGTAGAACGCACGTTGAGGAAAAAAAAGCAGCCGGGCACGGCTCAGCACGGCAGCCCCCTCTGGCATCACGCCCAGCCTGCGGCTACCACCCTCGGCCTTGCAGCCTCTGGTTTTGGCCTGAGAAAAGTTTTAAGAGGGAAAGTGTTGCCGAAGTTACAAAGCTGCGGGGGCAGAGAAACCAGGTAGCTCACAAGTGCACCCCGTGCCCTTGAGAAGAGCGTCAGGAAGGCGCCTGTGTGTGGTGGTGGACTTAAGCCTGGGTGGGTTGCAGGGGCACCTAACGAGGACCGGCCTGCCTAACAGGTGATCTAATTTGATTCTGGTCTGGAAGTCAAGCCTCTGGTAGTTCTATCTTATCTTTTTTATTGCTTAGGATACTGCAGCTGTGCGAGCTGTTATTCTTTAACTTGAAGGAAACTGAAACTCATGGCAAGCACTGAATACAATTCAGCAGCAGTTTTGAACAACGCTGAAGCTCAATGTTGCCTTGCAGGACTGGGGAATTTAATCGCCGATTCTGTCTGAATCCTGTAATTACTTAGTTGAGAAAAATGAGGTGAGGAGGCGTGAAGCTCAAAATGATTAACAAACTGTTAGGGCAAACAGCCCACCGGGCTGGCGAAGGGCCCTGCCTAGGGCAGCATCAGTGACAGCAGCCGTCTCCCTGTTGACATGGAGCTGGTCTTTGTTTTGTTCTTTGCACAGGAGGAATCGTACAATACGTTGATAAAGCAAAGGATTTACTGTCAGTGCTGGGTGTCTGGGCTGCTGAGGCCAGAGCTCACTGGAGTCAAACGTGGCCAGGACCGTCCCCTTCAAAGCTGTAGGGGACCACATGTGCTCACCCCGCTGCCTGCTGCAAGCCAGGCAACCTGAATTTTCCATCCTTTACCAGCACTTGAAGCTGGTCTCGGTGTAGCATCCCTAGAAGGGAAGGTAGCACAGCTCTCCCTCCCTCCTTGCAGGCATTTGCCGTGGCCCAGAGCAGTTGGAGGTTAACGTGGAGTTCAGCAGGCAGGCACAAACACCTTGGAGAAAGGAGCAGCTGCGTTAGGGCTCCATGCAAATGTAAAGCCAACAGGAACGAAGGGAAAACCTCCTCTTGCCTGCAATCGGGCACCTTGGACAAGACTGTGAGGGCAGAGGCACTGAGCCTGACCTTTGGTGGGGATCTCAGCACTGGGTTCAGAACATACCTGGGGAGGGAGAAGCAGGTTCAGCTGAGCTACGTTCCCCTTGGGAAAGTACTGACCGCCACATCCTCTTAAAATAGCAACCAGGAACATTAGAAGCTGAGAAAGCTGTTGTAATATAGGCAGGCTGGGGCAGGAGAGAGAAAATGCTTAACAGATCAGAGGAGCATTCGATGTGCTTAACTCCAAAAGGGAAAACCAACTGCACCCTTGCTGGAGCGAGCAGAAACCTCTTCCCAGCCGACACGGAGAAAGCAGCCACTGATGAGGAATTACCTATTTCTTCAGCTCTCTTCTCTCAGGAAAGCCCAACATCACAGTCAGGTGGCGTGAAAATTGCTGTGCAACCCCCTTCTTAACCGCTACATAAATACTCTGCTGGTAGTGCTTCCCACTTGCACCTCCTCTGTTATTAACAGGAGCTGTGGGAGTCGCTGAAGCCTCTCCTAGCAGTCAGTGAACAGGGGAGCTGAATTTAGATCCTGCCACAGAAAACATCCGTGCACTTCGAGGCCTGTCCTGTGGTGAAAACTGTGCAAAGCGCGTGGGGAATCTCAAGCTACCCCCGCATCCCTCCTCCTCTCCACCCCTTACACTGTTTCTGAAGGATTTCCACAGGGGACCATGCAAGTGGGTCTTCAGCATTTATCTCAAAGAAACAGTTGTGGCTTTCACATAATGCACCCTAAAGCATGCTGGTGCTTTAATAGCTGAATGGCACCTTAGCTCCACTTTTCCTTAGAAGGAAGTGATAAACCAGCTAATTTATACTGCCCCTTAATTACACAATGCAAAGTCACAGTGTTTTTTCCTGTTCTGTGGGATGGTGAAGCCTGAAAGTTGACTATTGTCAGGTACGTGACGCTGTTCCCCTACTTTTCCTGCTCATGCAGGAAAATGGAGACGGTCTTTACTAGAAGTGTTTACAGAGCAGGAACACTGACACTGCAGGGCAAACTGCCCGGCCTGAAACACGAGCAGGACATGAGCAGCATAGCTTCTGTGGTCTCCCAAAGAAAATAAAACGCCATTTTTTAATGATCGTAACTGACCAACGGTTCTTTATCAAATTTCATCCAAGTGACATCACCTCTAGCAGCACGCCGGGGGGTGAGATCAGCCCAGCCCGGACAGGGAGTTACCAACATTGGGGGGGGACCAGCACCACCTTGTGCTGCTGCCCAGGCCCCAGGGGCGATGCCTGCAGCACTGAGGACTTGGGTTACCGCTCCCCTCTTCCTTCAAAGGTCATAAATTGTTATTGCAAAGGTGCAGGAAAAAAAAAAAAAAATAATTGCCTCGCCACTCATAACAGCCTATGCCAGGGAGGTGAAATGGAGCAGAGCCAAAGCAGGGGGTGATTGAAGGAAACAGAAGCTTGGAAGATTAAAAAAAAAAAAAAAAAAAAAAAAGCAGCTTGTACATGGTTATTAAGCACTTACAATGTTCTCATGCAGCTTAGATAAGCAAACTGGAATTAAGCATTGCAGCAGGCATCAGCCCCAGTGCTGTACTCTGCCTGAAAGCACAGGAGGAGGCTGGGAGCACTCAGAAGCCAGGCTGACTGGAAACAGGTGTATATGGGGGGGAGGAGGAAGAGGTGGGAAGGGCTGAAGGCTGCTCACCATATGAGCATGCAACCGCCTCAGTCTAAAGGTCAGGGCAACTGAAGTCAAAAGACTGCCTTTTGGCAGGGCTCACCCGCGTGAGCGGATTTAATCATTCACGCAAGGGAGAGGGAGGCTTTGGGGCAGGAGGGAGTGAGAAAAGCCCCGGGGGAGCGAGCACAGCCCCGGTGCCTTGTGTGCAACAAGCCGCTGCTCCTCCGCGCACGGGAGGCGAGTCCTTCCCCTGGTGTCCCAGATCCAGCAGCACCCAAAGCGGGTCCTAGAAGCAGCACTGAAAGCCCTGTGAAAGTAATCCACTTACTTGGTTTTCAGCACATGACCTTTTAGTGGGGATCAAGTCATTACCTGTGCTCTCCCAGCCCACCGTTAGAAACCAGCCCCTGTGCTGCTGATCCACCGCTCTGGGCAGACAAAAGGACTTCCCTGTGATTTCTGAGGATTAAGTTTTATTCTCCAGCTACACAGCACTGACCGATAAAGTTCTCTTTATTACAGACCTACAAAACGAGATCCATAAAATACTTCTATTTTCTCTTACAAAATTATGATGGGAGCCCATGGATTTCTGGAGGAGTTGTACCTGTCCCAGTGACACGAGGACAGAGGAACAGAGAGACAGGTTTCACAGACAAGGCAGAGGCATTCTCAGCTTTAAACAAACCCACCCAGGGCAGGTATGTGTCTGCATCTTGCAGGGAGCAGCTGCCCTCTGCTCTGGGCTATCAGATGCTGGGCAAAGAGAAAAACATTCCTTCTCTTAACTCAGCAGCAGCAGCTCTGCACATCAGCTCTTTGCTGACACACAGACTCCTAATTCCAGCCACATTCCCCATTTTGAGAATAAGCAGCCCTGCTTCTCAGCGCCCTTTACAGCTACTGCTGCTCAAGAGAAGGGGGAGTGGGAGGGAAGGGTTACAACACGGTCCATCTAAAAACCCCAAACCAGAGGAAAACTCCAGGTTGTTCAGGGCAGGCAGTTCACGTGCCCCTCAGCTCTCTCAGGCAAGGAATGCACACCGCGGACGTGTCCAGAGGCAGAGGTACAGCCACCCTTTCACTTCAGGCTCCGATGAGTTTCTTGAGGAATGCCTCCAGCTGATCCTCGTCCTTTATTCCCACAAACTTATCCACAACATCTCCGTTCTTCATAGCCAGCACAGTTGGAACTGCTGACACCTGGGGGCAAGAAAAGCAGGTAAGCAGAGGCTGTGGGGAGGGAGCCCGGCTGCACCCGAGCCCCAGATGGAGCTCTGTGAAAGAAGTGGCTACAAGGAAGCTGAGCACACACTGCTCAGGGGCGATATGTCCGCTCACAAAACACAGGCCAGCTGAGCTCCATGCCCCTCCTCTCCCCGGGGCCTCTTCTCTGCACTCACTTCTGTCGCACGGCTTAAGTCAAGGCTGAGCAGCTTTTTGAGTTTAAATACAACCCCAAATTTTAAAGACAGAACCAAAGCTACTAGAAGAACAAGGCAAATCTTTCCCCCCCTCTCCAGTACAAATTCCCCTTCTCCTCCCCTTTTGTCCTATCATAAGCAAACAAACCTGGTCCTTTACCAGGACACCTCTCAGACGTGATGACCTTTGGACATTTTATGACCAGGGTTGTGTCAGTCTGGAACTATGTTCTCCAGACAGGACTAGAGCTGGAGGAGGGTCCCTCCCCCGTTACTGCACCAGCAGATTTCCTGCTCCGTCCTATCACAGTAATGCCAACTGCCTCCAACCCATCTTTCCTTTTCTGTTCCTGCTTTCACTGGTTTAGCTGGTCCCACACCAGTGCTGTCCACTGTGGACCCCTGACTATTAGCTAAGAAGTGGGAAAAGTCCCCCTGACCAGAGCCAGCAGGCAGCTGCACTGCTCTGGGTGCTGCTTTTTTAGCCCAGAACAAAGTTTTCTGAGAATTATCCAAGAGAACAGCCGTAGAAATGACAACGCTCCCAAGGGATTTGCCAGCTGACCAGTGACAGAAGAGACCCTGGGGACATGATTAAGAGAAGGAGCAACCAGAGCTTGGAGAGCTGTGACAGCAAAGAGATCTGGTGGTATTTCTGACCCCACGGCTTTGGTGCCCTTATCTCTGCAAAGCCCCCCTCCTACCAAAACACATCCTGTCCTTATCTCGCCTGCTGCCTCCCCACCAGCCCACGGGGCCTTTCTGCGTGCTGCCAGCCCCGCTGCCAGCAAGGATCTGCAAATCCTTCCTCGGGAAACCTGCCAGAGGCTTGGCTTCTCTCCCATCGGGAGCCTGAGATGAAAGGCACAGTTTGTGCTTCCCTTCCCACCCGGTCCCGGCCAGCCAGTCCAGCGTGGCTCCCCGCAGTCTGTCCTCCGGGGCTCCTACGGTCCCATCTGAAGGGATGGGAGCACCGGGGCTGCTGCAACCCACGATCTTCAGCTCCTCCTAGTGACTGGCGGTAGCGGATCCCGAGGGCTCCGGGCCCAGCGCTGTCGACTGGGCTGCCAACACGCTCCCTTGTGATTTTTAGGGGTGGGAAAGGACGGTAACCAGCAAGCACTGCACTCAACCGGCCTCCCCCCTCCCTGCGAGAAGGGCAAAGCTCCACCGAGCCTCCCTCTGGTTTGCAAAGTGGATTAATAATGAGCAGAGTTGCCCCAGCTACATCCAAAAAAACCAGCATGCCCAACCAGCAACAGCAAGCACCAGGCCATTACAGCCTGGGTGAGGAACGGCCAACACTTCGAAGCACTACAGAGAAGCAGCTGACACCGAGTTACAGGGCTCTGCATGCTGACCAGCACATCCACGAGCCTCACACAGCCTCCATCCCTCCATCTCTCCCCCCTTTTCATGCAAACCCTGAGAACGGGTGGCAGGTCTGGGGCTGGATGAGAACCAGGGGCACTGAGCAACTTGTCTCTGCTCAGAAAACACAACGCTTTTGACAGCTTCCTTCCTGCTAGCTGCAGCAAGGGCAGCCTGTTAATGGAGCACGTACTTCATTTTGCTGCTGGAGAAGCAAATGTCATGGGAATATCTCAAACACAAAGTTGGGCCCTTTTTTTTTTTTTTTTTTTTCCCTTCTTTTTTTTTTGGGTCCTGCCTGCACTGAACTTAAACAAACCCTCCTCCTCCCTCAAGAGCATTTCTAGAGAAAAAGTCAGGCTGCTTTTGATCAGCCCTGACCACACAGATAAATAAACAAACACGGCCATCCAGGCTATTCCTGGCAGCACCCATACCGAGGGAATTCTCTCCCATCTGAAACCGAGGCTTTTACACAAGCTCAGATGCCACGCAACGGAGCAGGGGGAAGGATTCCACCCAAGGTTCAGAATGAGGTGCAGCACAGGACCAAGATCTGCTGATGAAGGACCATCCCTGCATCCAGCAGCTCTTCCGAGCTGCCCGCCCGCAGCGGCCGGAGAAGGGGCTGCCCTTTCCCAGTGGCCACGCGTGCAGGCAACGGGCCAAGGCAAGAGATGAATCTAAAGAATTTGAAGAGATGGCAGATTAAACAAAAGTATTCCTTCTCCCTTTCTGCTCTCGGGGCGAGAGGTCAGGAGCAGGCTGGAGCAACAGAGAAAAGCCACAACCAGAGATGAAAGGTGTCAGATAAAAGGAGGAATCCCTGGAGAAAGAACTTTTGTGCTGGGCACAACCGGGCGGGGAAGGGCGTTGGGGGATGTTTCGAGTTGCAGGAAAGATGTGCCCCCTCCATGCTAAGCCGGGAGGGCCAGGAGCCAAGGGCAGACGGCAGCGTGTACGAAGGAATGCGCCGGCATTCCTTGGCTCTTCCAGGGGGGTCTCTCCCCTCGCTCTGCCTCCCCCCCACCCCTGCACCAAGGAGGCTGCTGACAAGGACGTTGTGCAATCAGGCGGCAAGATGGGGGCTGCGTGCGTGGGCAGAGGGATAAACATGGGTGGAAGGAGACTTCCTGGCAGCTAGGGGAAGAAGAGTTGTAGGGGGTGGCATGGACACTGAAAACCCCCAGAACAAAAAAAACTTTCTCAGCTTGCAGACATCTGATCCCCAGCTGAATAGCTTTAAAGTAAATAAAGCTTTCCTGATCCCTTCCAAACACTACCTCTGGTCCCTCTCTGATCTCGACTTGGTGTCTTCCCATCAGCCCTTACGTTCACATCTCCTTAAGTGGCAACTTCCCAGGAAGATGAAGCAAAACCGAGCACGTGCTCAGCACACGAACCAAACTTTGGCCTTAAAAAGGATGCCCCAAACTACGAAGTTCAAAGCAAAAATTCTTCCTTTAGCCCTACCTGTTTGCAGCTATCCTACTCACAGACACTGCCTAGGGCTGGGGTTTTAGCCACAGGGATAATGGTCACGACCAGACACACGCATCGCTTGGAGAGCAGAGGACACAGCGATGATCCCCAGACCCTTCTGCAAAACAAAAACTTCACCGTGTTTGTATGCAAGGCTCCAGAATGAATTGCTGGAAGCTGGCCCTTGCCTGCAGCCTCAATCTTGCCTGCAGCTAGGCCACCAGGGCTGCAAGACAGGCAGGCCCTGCAGAGAAACACGTGTACGCAGCAGGCTGTGCAGCTGCTCACTCACCAGCCGGTGGGAGAGCACACGCAGTGTGTCATCAACCTGTGCAGCTCGGGAACTTGCAGCCTCTTTTTAAAGACCTTTCTTCACACGCACACACCCCGTTTGCTGTCTTCCAGTCACCTGAGATTTTCTTCTTGTAATCCCAGCTAATTCAATCTACAGGAAGGCTTGGAACAGAGTTAAGCTAATAAACTCTGTTCTATTCTCTTTAGGGTGGTTGCTACCACAGCCCTGTCTGCATCTATTAGAATTTACGCGTTTTCTGACCACCACTGAAACAAGCTCACCCTCTACAACTTTGTCTCACCAGCACCCTCAAGCTATGCAGCCTCTGGGCTTGCAGCACAGCCCTGCTCCAGAGCCAGCAGCCATCCTCCTTGGCCTGGGGCGTATCTGCCAGCACACCATCACCGAGGAGAGCACCCGAGGCTCTCGTGCTCAGCTGGTGGAAGCTGCAAGTCAGGTCTGTGGGCACCAGCTGGGTGGACACGCCACCACAGCACAGGCAGAAAGGTCTCCCTGGGAAAGAGCGGGAGGGAACAAGCTGTTTCCACTTCCTTCTCCTTCCAGCTTGGCAGGATATGGGAACGGCACAGAGCATCTCCTCCAGGCTCAACAGAATGACAGCTTGCTCAGGAGATGGTTCGCGCTTTGCTGGGCAACTGGAGGAGCTGCCTGTGCTAGCCTCTGTCCTGGGAGCAGGATTTCATCTGCCAAAATGTGAAAATTAAGCACCTTCTTCCCTGTAAAACACAGCAGCAGGATGCCCTGGCTCTGCAGACTGAGTTGTTATTTACAAGGAGAGACAACAAGAGACGATCACAGTTGTCAGAAGAGTTTTTGTGTTTCTTAAACTACCCAATCACTGATGCAGGGAAAAAAATAAATAAATCACGTAAACAAAAGCCATGGCCTTCTCCAGTCACTCTGCTCCTTCCTGGGAGCAAGGCAGCACAGGGAACACATGCAACAGCTGTGTAAAACACCAGTGTAAGCACCAAGGTCCGCACCTGTCAAGAGCAGGATGCATGCTCCTGTTGCTTATGTGTGTTCTCCAGCCTGGCTTCCACCCATCCAGACAAAACCCACTGCGTCTCCTTGTGCTGCGGCTTAAGGATGGGACATTATCACCCAGCAAGAAATCTTGAACAAGGTAGGGAGAGGATGGGCTGGCTGCATGAAGAGCCACATTTGAGAGCAGAGCACAGCCAGGGGCTTGTTACTTCACATCCCTGCCCTGCACCTGAGCAGCCCATGCACACAGCAAAACGCTGCCTGTGCTGCAGGCTCCTTGAGGCCAGACAAGCATTTATGATGACAGATGCCTGCAAGGCTTAGAGGACGCCTTTCTGCAGAATTAGAGGTGGGGATGCTGAGCACGGGCAGCAGATCAGGAGAGCCAAGCAGCAAAATCTGCCTACTAGCAAGTGACACAAGGGACCAGGAACCTGTAGGCACTAGGCCTCCCCACCCCACCCCAGCTCCCCTGCCGTGCAGGCACACCTTTCCCCAGGGCAGAACTTTCTTTGCCCCATCAGAAGAAAGTCCGCGCTGTTCCGTCTCCTACCTCATACTCAATAGCAAGGTCTGTGTGATCGTCAATGTCCACTTTGGCCATCAGCACCTTCCCCTCCTGCTTGGCCACCACCTTCTCTAACCTGGGGCCTAGGATCTTGCAGGGGCCACACCACCTGATGGAGATAGAGGAGAGGGGACATCAGAGAAGGCAAGCGCAGCAGCAGGCGTGGAAGGTTTTGCTGGTACTCTGGTGCCTTTACCACCACCACCGTCCATTCAAGAGCCACCCTGGAAACACCATTCCTGAACCACAGCTTAGAAAAATACTCCTTCTCACAAAGGAGCTGTCGAAGGGTTCTGTGTGCGTGGTAAGAGATGCTGAGTGGAAGAAGAGGTCACCGTTCAGCTTCTGCTGTGCTTTTGATGTCATTTTGATCACACCGCAGTCTGCTCTGCCAGCCCTGGTGGTCCTCCTGCCCCCTCTCCTCAGCACTTCATCCCGACCCTGCTCTGTGTCCTCGCTGGTGCACACGTGCAGAGCTGCGACCCTGCCCACCACGAAGCTGCCCTAGGGTGAGCGTTGCTGCCAGGTGTGTGTGTGTGTGTGTGTGGGTGTCACAGCCCACACTCAAATTGGTCAATGCCAGTCATCAGATCATAGACTTCCCCTTCGTGCTCACTGCAGGGTTTACAGAAAATTCCCCTTCAGCTGCAGAACTCGCAGAGGCATCGCGTCTGTTCAAAGACAGACCACCTATTCCAAACCCAGGTGCAGCAACAGCAGAGTTTGCAATGCCCTGTACAGAGAAAACACCCCCCCCGCATCCTCTAACTGCACCAGTTAGGATGGTTTGAACTTACTCTGTTCAAGGAAAACATGAGTTAAAGCTCCAAGTGCCCTTTTCTTTTAAAAATGAAGCTCTGGTAAACTTTGTTCCTCCTCAGCCTCCCTCTGTGTCAGGTTTCAAGCTTTCAGTTATTTGTCCTCCCTTCCCTGGATGGTGCCAATTAATGTTCATTTTGGTTTGTCAGTTTGGTCTATTTAGAGCAGAAGTTTTTGGGCTGTTTCATACTCTGTTTGCCTAGAATCAGCCACAACAGGCTCACATGACAGCACTGCAGCACTATGAAAATACATGAGAAAACAAAGATAATCAGTGTTGTTAATCCAGCGGGTAACATCTAGGAATATTTTTACTGGCAAGAGAATGACAGTGTTTTTACTGGTGATAAATGCTGCCGTTGGTATCACGTGGCTGTTACTGATACATAAAGGCATTTGCTGTTAAGAGCCCTGCCTCAAGAGCACGCAGTGTAAGAAACCTGGAAAGACACAACATGGCAGTGCAGGGATATACCAAGTGCAGTGCTCTTCCACAGCTGGTAACGTCATTTAGTGTTTTTAAGAGAACAGGTGATCCACAGAGCTAAAAAAGGGAGCTATCAGAGCTTTTACCTGAGGTGTCTTTTGCAGGAGGATGCATCGCCGTGGGCCAGGGTGACACCTGAGCACTTGGGAGGGGCAGCTCAGGGAACACCTTCCCTGGCACTTGTGTTTTACACTCCTACAGGGTGTAGCAGCTACACCTACAGCAGTGCAACCTGACAAGTGAAACTTCTGTGGGTTGTGCCAGAGGGGCAGAAGCACCTTTTAACACCAGCTCCACAGGCTGGGAAGCCCTGGGGCGTACTCACATCGCCCAGGGGGTCAGGAAAGCAGCAGGGACACACCTACACGTGTAATGGCAGAGAAGGGCACAAGAACCACAGCGGTGGGGTGAGGGAGGGGAAACTTACTGCGCGTGGAAGTCCACCACAACGGGTTTGGGGTTGTTCACCACCCGGTCCTGGAAGTCGTTGCCATCCTGCACGTTGAAGGTGCTCCTGCAGGCTGCTGAGGTGCTGAGGGCCCTGCCGTGCGGTGCTGGGGGCGCACACGGTGCCAGGGGACCCTGGGGGGGCAGCGTCCTGGGGGTGAGGGACAGCAGCCGCCGGAGTGCCAGCCTCTGGGCCATCTGTGGGGAGAGGAGGAGGTACATGGGGTGGGTGCAGCCCACAGCCAGTCTCGCTGCAACAGCGACCCACTCAGAGTCCCCTCACCAGGGCAGCCCCCGAGCCAGGAGGTGCCCTAAACAGAAACCTACTGCCCCTACACCCAGCTCTCGCCACCCTGCAAGCTCCAGCCACGCTGAAACCTCAGCCCCCACAGCCGTGGGGTCCCACCTGCCACGGAGCCCTCCAGTTACAGCCCCCAGCTTCTCCATTTCCAGGGGGCAGGGCTGCCTGTCCCGGCCACAGAGACCCCGTTTCCCCCCAGCCCTACAGACAACAACCCTCCCGCCGGGCTTGTTCCTTCCAACCCACGGGGCAGCCCCCGGCCCCCCCCAGCCACGGGACCCCCACTCCCCCGACACCGGTGGGCACAGCTCCTTCGTCCAGAGCATCCCAGCATTTCCCATCAGCGAAACAGGCCCCCCCCCCCCCCCCCCCGCCATGCGGTTGCCTCTTCACAACCCAGTGGGGGAGGACACCCCCCCACAGGCCACGGGAGCCCCACGGGCCCAACTTCCCCTTCCAGCCCCAGAGGGCAGGACACCATAGCCGGGAGGGCCCCATCCCGCCGACGGTGCCACAGGACGTGTCCCCCCCCCACCCTCCCCAAACCCACGGGACCCCACCCCCAGCCGCACCTTCCCGGGCCCCGAGGTGACCCACGCGCGACCAAACTTCCGCCGGGTGCCCCGCCCACCCGCGCGCTGATTGGCCGCCGCCTCAGGAAGGCCGCCGGCAAGGGCACGGCCCCGCCTCCCCCAGCCGATTTGGCCGTCTCCCCGCAGCGCCGGCCTCTTGACTGGCCGTCGCGGCCGTCATTCAAGCCCCAGCGGGGCGTCGGCGCCCGGGCCGGGGCGGGGGCGGGGAGGCGGGTCCCCGGTGGGGGGGGCGGTGGCGGGAGCGGAGGGGTCCGGGTGGCCAGAGCCGGCTGCCCAGCCCGGTTCGGTCACAGCTCCTTTTCTTCCCCTGGACAATCCCAAACAACTAAAGAGCCCGCGGTGCCGCCCAGACGGGCCGCGAGAGCCGCTCCCTGGAGCTGGAGCTGGGGCGGTGGGGTGCTCGTGGCAGGATGTGGATCCACCCCAGCTGGGGAGGTGACCGTTGTCACGCGTGAACGTGCAAGAGCTTCCAGCAGCATCACCAGTGCAGCCCAGTATTGCCCAAGAGGAGCAAGAAATCATTTGCCACCTCCTTCAGCTCTTCTGCTCCCCAGCCTCTCCGCCCATGAGGCAGAGCAGGGGTGGGACCTGGGGCTTTACAGAAACAGCAGCCGAATTCGAAGGATTGGGAGAGTTTTAGGTACGTGGAGGCACAGGCCTCCCCCCAGTCTGGGGTATCAGGAAGCACAAGTGCAGAGGGGTTGGAAAAAACGTGGGTAGAAGTAAAAGCCTGTTCCCTCTCGCCCCTCCTCTATTTCCTAGAAATCGCAGGGACATCGTAAGGGTGAGATGGAAACTCCTCTTGCCTTGCAACTCCAGGGCCGTGGGACGAGCCCACAGGGAGGTGAAAGACAAATGCACGTGGCTGACCGAGGGAGCAATAAAGTGCAGGCAGCCAACCAGTCAACACCAGTAAGATCTCAAGGTGATTGGAGGGGAATAAAGTAGAGAACGAGACTTTTAACAACACCAAAGTCCACCCAAAACTTTCTTGATGGGACATAGTGCAAATAGGAGCAATACTGGTCATGCTTTATAAAAGACAGGAGCTAACCTTTCAGGCTGCTCCGTGTGGGAGGAGAAAAACGCGAGGACAGTGGAGCCAAACTCAGTGTAAGTCTCTGTGTGTCAGGTATTCCAGGCAAGCTACTCATCCTTCGTGGAGGAAAAGGTCCCTTGTAGTGCTCTCCGAGAAATGACAAATCACCCGACCTATACAGTAGCTAAAAAACACCCCTCTCCACTCTTAAGTGCCCTAACTCAAATGCAGGAAAAGTATCAGGAAGTTTGCCTGGAGTACCACTTCGGGATTCAGTGCACAAACTAATTTTGAAATATATGCAGCATATGGCACCCAGGGACCAGAGAGCCTGCACCAGGCTCCCATGGCATGTCAGCAGGTCACCTCTGAAGAGGGACGTGACATTTTAAGTTACCCAGGCGTTCTTGCACTCTCTTCCGTGACCCCTGGACGTCGCTGCAGATACTGGTCTGCGAAATAAACACCAACACCATCTTCAGGCAACTCTGAACTCTGCAAGGACAACGCGGGAGCCTCAGCATCACTGGATTTTGGCCCCTCGCTTATCCTTCAGGGCATGTTGGTCCTCTTTGTAACAGCAAGATCTGAGCAGGTCTTTGGCAACTCATGATCAGTGGAAGGCATGGGGATGGAAAAAGTGCACAGGAAAGGGCAGAATCCTGCTGTGGATCTCTGTTACAATATTGTCACAACAGCACCTGCGGGTTTTAGTGTGGAGTGAGAAAGATTAAAGCTCATCCTTGGCATTAACAAGATGCTGCAGCGGACGAACAGGTATCGCGTGATCTCTCAGCAGACGGTCCCGTGGCCCTTCGTGGCTGTCAGGGGGTCCATCACCCAGAAAGTCTCTGAGAGTGTAATCCTCCAGCAGGCCAGCTTCCACCGCATGGCGCCGGAGCCCCTCGCTCCCCACGAGCCCTTGCATTCTCACGTACCCCTGCTGACAGAAGGGAGGCAGCTTCTGACGGGTGAAAGCAAACAGGAAGCAGGACTCTGCGGGGGAAAGGATCAAAAACCAGACTCAGCAGAGAAAAATTCCCCTAAACTCTTGAGGACTCATTCAAAACAAAAGGCAGAGAGGATGAGGGAAGACGACGGGAGTTTCCCACCCGGAACCCTGCCCCGGATGGCAGCAGGGTAACCGGCTTAATTCTGCAGAGCTCAGGAGATACAGGGTGGGACCTCCAGTCTGCACTCTGAGAGGAAAAGGAGCTGAATTTGAGCTTGCAGCCCTCTGGCATCTTCTTTGTACCACAGGGTTGCTTTCCTCTGTGTGCCACGTGGGGTTCCTGCAGGAAGTTCCCAGACCAATCTTGAGACCAGGCAGGGAGGGCAGAGGCTCTTCAGCTCTCACATCCCAGCACTCCCATTTCCCATGGGAAAGCAATCCCATCATCTGTACATGAAAAGAGGTCTGGTACCCAATGGCGCAAAGGAATGTTCAGACAATGGTGGAAGAAGGAATGCTGCAGGTAGAAAAGGGACTGAACCCAACCTCACACCCCTTTCCCTAAATCTGGCTGTGCCAGGGACAGTCTCTTTCTGATGGTGAGCAAGAGCAAAGGCTGTTTGGGAACATACACACAGCACTGGCACTTTTTACCATCTGGGGAGCGCATCAAAGAGGTGTGACTGATGGTGAGACCACCAGCTCGCCACAGGGAGATCTTAGCTACCTGCAGAAGACATCCCTCCTGTTGCTTGTCCCTCACATCCCTCCTCCTCCTCCTGCCACTTTGACCCTGCGCTCAAATTACCTGCGAAGAAATTGCGCAGGTCAGTGCTGAGGCAGTTCTCCAAAAAACGCCTCAGCGGAAGGATGTGCGCGTTCGGGGCCGTCCAGTCTGTCAGAAAGTCCTCCACAATGTGATGGACAGCATCTGGGCGGGGGAGAGGCCAGTCTGGGGGCCGAAGTCTCATCTCACGCTCTGTCAAGAGAACATTAAGGAAATCTCTCAGTATCAAAATAGCATTAAAAAGACCTTGGGGAGTGGGAAGCAGCTAGGACAGCTGTTTCAGATCTTGTCCTGACCTTTTAATCCCTACCTGACTTTCATTTGCAATCTCTTCCGCTAGTTCTGTCCTCAACAGCCTTGCCACTGCACAGCTGCCCCTTGTCCCTGCCTGCAGTACTTCCTGTCATTTCACTCCTGTTCCCCCTGGGCAGGGACAGCCTGACAGGCTGAGCTGCTTTCAAGCTTTAATGCTGCTACCCGTCACAATTCTTTCCGTGCAAGACAGGCCAGATCCTGACCCTGGGTTTTTGGAGATGAAGATTCAGCACACTCAATTCCCAAGGAAATCTATTTCGAGCATGTTTGTTTGCTGGGTAGAACACTCATCTTCAAACCCTTGCCTTCGGATGCCCCTATCACTGCGTGACCTCTCAGACCTGGGCTGAGCACAGACAGCAGCTTTCTTTTGGCGGCAACACCAACCAGCCCAGCCTCATCTGCCAGGACTCTGCAAAACACATGTAGGGTGCCAGCCAGAGGGAAGCGATGTTCCTCTTTTGGGGAATGGGGAAGTTCCCAGCATGCCTGTTTGTTCCTGTTGTCCAACGTGAGGTCTCTGGTAGAACCCCACACCCTGTATCGATCTGACCAATAGTCTGACCAATAGTTCCTGCTCTAAACTTGCCAACTCCCAGCCTTTTTTTCAGCTCACCTGTTGGTGGCAGGTGCCCCAGAGGATGGACATAAAGGATGTGCAATGCCTTCAGGTACCCCCCCCGCCTCTTTGGCTCTGAAATATCTTCATCCCTCTCCATTTTGCTCGCCTCAGATAATTAGCAGGGAGAGGCAGGGAAGCTTACCTGTTGGAATGTGTTTGTAATAGTAAATAACAGGGTGCAAAAAGTTAGACTGCCAGGCATGCTGTGCCTCTCCCACTGCTCGATTGTAGTAGAAGACATCCTTGTCAGCCCCAGAGAAATTCCTCCCATATTCCATGATGATGACAAACAGCCCACTGGGAGCCTTCCTCCCCGTCTGCATTTCCAGCTCAGCCAGGACTCCAACTGGGTACTCTTCCAGGTATTCAAATGCTGTGGCATTCCTGTGAATTGCAACCACAACCGTCAGACTTTTCCACCAGAGAAAAGCCAGCTGGCCTACAACACCTCCTCAGCTGATCGAGGCTAAAGCCAAAGAGTCATCAGATAATAATTATTTTTGGTCATTAAAGAACAGGGCTGGACTCAACACAGACTTTATGAAGGCTGCAGGTAACTGTTACAAGACTCCAATATTGTCCTGGATTATGGGATTCCTCTTCACGTTAGCACTGCTCGAGACAAGCTTTTCCCTGGGGACAGTAAAAGGGCACTACACCTCTGAGCGTCGAGGGAAGGTCTGGACCATTTCAGCCCTTTAAGGGAGAAGTAATCAGCATAACTGGGCATACTGGCACCAGTTGCGGCAGTGGTACAGGTTTTAAGGTGGCTGCCTACGTGACGGTAATGTCCTTAGGCAGCAACAGAGCCATTTAATGTGGTGGCACAATGGGAAGCAATGGTAAAGAAAATGGTCTGAAACGATAGAGCGCAGTGCTGGGAATAATTACTCACTCACTCTCTCAGCAGTATGATGTCAGCCAGGACACTGAACATCTGGTAGAGGCCTGAGGCTTCATTCACCCTCTTGATGATGGAATTGGTCAGCTGTGTAATAGGGTAGACTGCGGATGGCCAGGGGACACCATGGTGACGGTTTTCCAATAGGCGGTGGACTGCACGAGCTGAGACATTGAGAGAAACAAAGACAGCTTATTTAAAAATCCAAGCTTACGCTTGTAAGAAATCCAACTGCTCTGCTGCGGCACACACGGATCCTGGCAGGACACAATAAATAAGCTTTACAGCTCATCTGTGCTTAGGATCTTCCACCCCAATCGCCGGTAACTGCAGTGGAGATGCCCTCTGAAAGCTGATGTGATGCTAAGTGGTTGGTGAGGGGGCAGGGGCTCCTCGGGGATATTTCATTACTTCTGAGAAGTCTTTTAATGATAAGGACGGACACACACACACG